TTGGCAATTTTTATCACCACCTTCTCTGTCAATTCAAATATGTTACATTACATACATTAATGTACATAGCATGCACGCTTTTAAAAATGTACACATTTGAATTGACATAGTTGTCATCCGGCAGTCAGCTGCTGTCGTTTGTCGTTTTTGTCGCTCCAATAAACCAGACTTCACTACGGTAGATGGACAAAATCCCGCCGTTTTGCCCTTAATTGCACACTATTCCTGTTCTCACCATACTTCTGCTAGCAAACAAATCAAGTTTGGTAATCGATACCGAATCGGTAAAATACCGCGTAAGCATCCTTAACATTCTTTGCAAAGAATTCAGTTCACAAGATTTCACACGTGTTATTGCTGGACATTGTCCCATGTCACTTAGAGTGTACGAGTCGGTCGGTGGTGGGGGGTGGTGAGTGTTGCGTGGGGCTCAGCCGCCGCGGTGTGCGCTGAGGGATGGGAGTGCAAAGGGAGGGAAGGGGCCGCGTGATGGACCCAGCAGAGCAACAAACGAGGATGAATTACTGGCGTCACATGGCGCCAGGCGGGGCGGCGAGAAACATGTGAGAACACCTCTCAGCTCTGAGAACTCCAGCAGGCCTCATATAGTGGCCTCAGCCGCAGGCGAGCGGAGCAGCCTCTCCTCGGGGGACTTTGGTGCCCCGCCCCGCGCGACGCGTCCATGCGTCTCTGCCGCGAAGATAATTGCAGCGGGTCGCTATATATTGCGTATGCAAATTACCCCCACCCCACGAAGCCTGCTGCCGCCGACAGTCTGGAGTGCACGTCGCGCAACCTCGCTGATTTCCCAGCCTGGTTTGCTTTCTTTCCCCACCCCTCTTTGTTGTATCGAATGTTATAGTAATCGATGCCTCCTTCCTAACGATAAAGTTCGATCTTCAGCGGCACGGTTACACAAAGTTCGATCTCCAGCGACCCGGTTACACAAAGTTCGATCTACATTCTGGCGATTTCTGCAGCGTAGCCTAAATGTATTCATATTCTCGTCAATATTGCAGATAGAAAAAAGTAAAATCTGCTTCATGTCTGAAAAAGATCAAAGAACATACTCCAAAGAAAAAATTGAATGCTGTCGCAGCAAGACTGTAGTTGAGGTCTAAACTTATGCGACTCCCGCGAGCGGCGAAAAGCAGATCGAACTTTGTGTAACCGTGCCGCTGCACATTGGACTTTGTGTAACCAGGCCGCCGCAGATCAAATTTTGTGTAACCGTGCCGCTGAAGATCGAACTTTGTCGTTAGGAGGCATCGTAGTATTCTACTTATTAATATTCGCAGAATTTATGTAAAATAGATTTGGCAGGAATTTTGTCAAGTGAGCATACGAAAAATCATTTACTACTTTCTTCTTCTTCTTCTTCTTCTTCTTCTTCTTCTTCTTCTTCTTCTTCTTCTTCTTCTTCTTCTTCTTCTTCTTCTTCTTCTTCTTCTTTTCGAGCCTGAGCACCGTGGCGTGCCCGGAGCTCCTTCTATCCCCTCTCACCAGAGCAGCGGCCATCTCGTTCGGACGCGGCTAGAATTTTATTTCCTGCTTCCTGCACGTTCACGCATGGCTCGCGCGCGCAAGCCCACCCAACTTATTTTATGTTCTCTATATTTTCACAAACAATTTCAATTGAGAGTGTACAGTTTTCCTTTTTGTTCCAGTTTATCCTAGACAAGCCCGTGAATCATAAATACTTCCCACACTGTCATTAAATTATTTGCCTTGACAGACGGACAACGACACGCGGGCCAGTCGTGGCTTGTCGACTGATCGACCCATTTTAGATCTAAATCGGAGTTCGTCCGGGACTTTCGTATGCCGAACGGTCCAGGCACTTCGTCATACTTTATTGTGGTTTCACTCTCAGGCCTGCGTACTGATTTATTTATTGATAGCTTATAAACGTTTATACGTAGCAGGATTACTGTCTAATTTGTTGCTTATTCTGTTTATTGTTGAAAGTAACTCACTGATTAAAAAAAAACGTGCCAGGAAATGAAAATGAAATTATTTTGTATTTACTGATGAAAACAGTTTGTTTTGTCAGTAGCTTGGTTTCACGGAGCAGAGGAATACTGACAAGTGGTGAAAAAATCAGTAACAGAATGAGAGTGTCCGGTGCACTTCACTCCGCACCTCCATCCCTTCTAACAACCTTGACCTCGTGTGTAAGTTACCTTTGAGACTTATTTCTCCCGTAACTTTAAAAGCGAAGTGTCTGCGACGAATATGGGGCTGAGCGATGCGTCGGCCGGCTCTGTGAGCACACAGTGGTGGTGGCCGCGGTAGCGCTGCTGGTCGAGGTAGTGGTCGGAACTAGGTCAGTGTTTTCCCAAGGGCTGCACTAGCAGTGAGCTGGGATATGGGGAGCGGGGGAGGGCCCTGCAGCCTGCTATGTTGAGTACCAAGAGAAAAGCAGCAAGGCGCAGCGGGGTAGGGGAAGCCAAACAGAGACTGTCAGACAGACTGATAAGGGGAAGGGGAGAGGGACGTTCCGACGTACTTGCAGTTCTGTTGAAGGACTTTATTTTTCAATTCTTGTCAGAGAGCTTTTTCTCTTTATGAGTCTCTGGTTCACATTTATTTCGCAAAATTTCGTGCTTCAAACAGAAACGCGTCACCGGTTTTACGTTTCCACGTAAAAACGTTTCAACGTTGTAAATTTAGAAAGAGGCGAAAACTATAACTTTGCGTTTATGGTGGAATACCACCTCACTTTTGTCGTTTTGTTGTCTTCCTTATGGAACAACCACGCATTCTATTTTGTCACACCGGAACATATATTATTATTTTCTGCTATCTTTTCTTCAAATGGAGCTTCCCAGTCTAATCTCGGGTCCGAGGATTGAGTCGAACACGAACGTCTTATTATTTACTCCTCCTCCTCCTGCTTTTCTGTTTTTGTTGTATTTTGGGCACATGTCGTGCGGCGGGGAGGCGCCCGAGTGGGGACTAGGCCCGGGTGCTGCTGGTGGCCCTGCGGTGCCCCGAGGCTCACTGCCACAGGAAGAAAGCCATTAGGCTGCCACTCATAATCCGTCGCGTCCAGCTCTATCAAACGCAAAGACCCCGCGGCCGCCAAGCCCCGCCCCGCCGCCTCGCCCACACGGCCCGCGCCCATGCATACTTTGACCGTGAACTTTGCTTGCCTCACTCCACTCCC